ATTATTATTATTATAAAATTTAGATCCTATTTTAAAAAATTTTAAAAGTATAAATTTAATATCTTAAATAAACCCGATTCAAATAGATCTGGTCCAAATAAAACCGCTCCGATCCTATCTAAATAAAATCGATTAGGTACAGCTTAAACAAGATTTTATTATTATAAAATAATTAATATTTGATATAGGGTTAAATTAAATATTATTTTGTCCTCCCTATTTTCATAAATTATATTTCGTCTTTATTATATCTTATGTTTATATGGAAAATGAATCCCTCAATTTTTTTCTTAATGTTTCTTGTATATTTAATCTTATAAGAAATTCAAACTCCGTGGATGAATTGATTAATTTCGTTATATGTGTAAAATGATCAAGTTGTAACTATTTTATATTTGATTTTTTATAGCTTATTTCTTTGACGCTATCAATTTTTGTATGTATTTTAAAAATGAATTTTAATGATTTTTCAAAACAAAATTTCAATAATTTTAATTTTATGTAAATTATAATACTTAAATGATAGTATTTTTAAATAATTCTTTTAGACTTTTTAAGAATATTAGGAGTTTTCTCTTCGATGAAAATGTTTGTAGAGTTTTTTTTTAAATCATATATTTTTATTTATATTTTTTTATTGTCCATGGTTAAAAATAATATTATATAAAATTATTTCTCATAAATTTAAAAGTATATTTTATAAAAATATTTATTTATTATTATTCCGTATTCAAAGTTGAGATTAATGGTAATTTATATACATAAACTCTACCAACTCGTGAAGGAAGTGTCTTTTAGATAAAATTATGATAGACTAATGTTTCAAAACAAACAATACATCAGATTATGATGACAAAATGGGTTAGACTTGTTAGGCCAACCCATCTAAAAAATGACAGGACATGTTATAGATTTTAGCTCGTCAACCTATTTTGATCCGTCTTGCCTAGCTTATCAATCTACTTTGACACGTCTAGCTTAGTTCGATCAACTCGACGAGTGAGTTGACCTACTTAAAAAAATATTTATATATTAAAATAAAAATAACATAAATATAATTAAAATATATTTTTTATGTTACTAAAATATATAAATATATTATAATTTTAATTATAAAAATTATTTAATTATATTTAATTTATTAATTATAATTATTTATTTTGGCACATAATTTTTTTCTATTTATCTAATAAAAATATTAATTAATCAAATAAAAATTATTCATATAATTAAATATATATATTTTTAAAAATACATATAAAAAATTATTAGCTTGTTGGGGTCAATGACCCATCTTGACTATGAGGATGAGTCCAGTCCGACTCTGTCTCTTGATAAATCAAAGTTGGGGTGGAAAAAAATGGGATAAATTTTTGTCATAGAGTTTCGTTCAACTCGTATCCCTTAGTGCTCGACTAAGGGGTTATATTCTAATATAGTCATAAGTTTCATATTGTTAAAGAGTCAATGTCAATGATAGTTTATATGCACCATTATCTCTTAATGCATCAAAACACCTTTTAAGAATAATTGATGTAAACGATAATATCATAACGGACATGGGATTAAAATATTTTCATTATTTGACAAAATAATTATAATTAAAAAATATATATTATATATGGAATGGTTAAAATAATAGTTAAAAAAGTATCTTATGACATAATTTAAATCTAAAATATATTATATATTAAATTTTAAATTTAATATACATTTTAGAATATTATACTTTTTTAATCATATAACAAGTTTCATGTACAACTCACGAATAAAAACTAATATTATCTAATAAAGAAAACAAGTTATGATAATATAATAAAAAAGTATTACTAGTATTACAAATATTGGATTTTAACTTAAAATCACTAATATTAAAAATATTAGATTTTAACTTAGCATTTAATAAAATGAGCAATAAATATATAAATTATGCTTAAATAATTAAGATTCGTTACACTAGATTTTCCCTTACATCGTATTTAATTAAAGATAATTGAGACCAATAATATGGTATCTACTAAAAAAAATGTATGTTATAATAGACTGAACTTAAAAGATAAACGTAAAATAATAATAAAATTATTATAAAAGTAGCGTGTTTTAAACTATATGGGAGTTACAATTATAAAAATTTGTTTAAAATAATTCAAAATATTCTAAAATATTATGATTATAACTAAAAAAATCGGGTTTTGGTTTGGTCAATATATGCATACTGCATTTATTATTATTTTATGAGGGAATAGAATATAATAAAATAAAATAATCTATTCTTAACATAATCAACGTTTATATTTGTAAATCCATTATAAGTATAAAAATAAATAAATCATAAAATATTAAAAATCTAATATGAAATAAGCTGATACTTATTCCTAGTGTCATGAAATAAAATTACGTATAAAAATCATAAATATTCATATTAATTTTATGAAATAAAATGAAATACTTATTTTTATGTATAAAATACAATCTAAAGTATACAAGATTATAAATATTTAAATCATATAAATTTAATTGATAATAATAATAATTTATAACCATCTTTTTCTTAATGTTCAATAATTAAAGAATTTGTTTACTTAAAACCTTATTTTAAAAAAATGGGATAAAAACTAAGTGAAAAAAGAGTAATTATTCAATATATTTTTAAAATATATTCATTTTTTTCTCTCGTATAAACATTATTATGGTTTAAAATATGTTTTTTTTATATAAATTATTATCATTGAAATATAAATCAATAATTTAAAAGTTATTTTTTTAAAATTATTTCTAAAAATAAATATGCTAACTCATGAATGATTTTAGATGATTAAAGAATTTGTTTAGTTAATACCTAGCAAAAAAATGAGATAAAAACTCAGTGAAAAAAACAAATAAATAAGAAGAAGTCGTTATTCAATATATTTTCAAAACACATATTTATTTCTTCCTCTCATAAACTATTATTATTGTTTAATACATTTTCAAAATATACTTACTTTTCCTTTTTATCTAAATTATTAGCATTGTGATAATAAAGACTAATATTAAAAGTTATTTTTTTACAAATATTTTTAAAAATAAATGTGTTAACTCTTTCCATATCACAATTATTTGAAAATTCACGAATAAAAAAAAACGTACATTTTACTCTGTTTCCTTTAATATGTTAATGTCATTTATTTCCAAAAATTGACCAGGAATTTATCACACATATTTAAACATAGATATCAATTTATCACATTTTATCTCATATAATACTAAAATACATTTAACCTCATATAATACTAAAATTTATATTGATTGACAATATTATTGTTATAGTTTATTTTATATATTATCATAGAGTCACAAAGTTATCATTTATATAATATAATTATACTTAAAATAATTCTAAAAGTCCTTATTATTTGTATATCATCTTTTCCTAATATGATATGAGTAATCAAATTTAAATTCGTGTGCATATACATTAAACTTTAAGTGAATTAGATGCTATTATAATAAGGAAGGTACAATTTTCATTACAATAATGAAAATATAAATTTATATTATTTTTTACTTTTTTTTTCATATCATTGTCTCACTTTTGATGATTTATTTCTAAAAATTCATTATGATTATGTTTACCACTATGACAATTAGAATAGCCACCACCGCTTTAAAGATCGTATTCAATTTCAGGCGTAATTACAAAAAATATGAATGGAATATTTTTTACATTCATTTCAAAAAACAAAACATAATAAGTTATATGAATCTCTATAACTTATTATTTTATTTATCAAATTCAAATTTAGTAGATTTAACATAATCATATATTTGTATAATTATTTAGACCAATATTTTACAATCCAATTATGAAATAAGATCTCAAATAAATAATTTTATGAAATAAAAGATTAAGACATAGAAAAGAAAAATTATTTTGTTATTAAATAAAATATCTCATTACAAATAAAAACGTAAAAAATTATAATTTAAATGCTACAGTATTTAAATTATATAAATAACAATAAAGCACAATAAAACACAATAAAAATTAATAAATTAATTAAGAATTCATTATGTTTCATAATAAATTATATTATTATCTTATTATCATAAAATTAATAGTACCAGCAACAATTGGTAGTTTATTTTCTAAACATATTTATCAAACCTAACCGTAAGTATTATTTTGAAAATACATTCGTATAACATATCAAATACTAATCATATCCTTATAAGATAAGCTAAAAATGTTTATACATGCATTAATTTTAAAATTTATATGTTTTAATGAAATTTGTAGGCTATTTTGATTTTTTAAATTTAAAAAGGGAATTACAGGTGAAATAGAAACTGAGAAAGAATAGAAGTGAATGGGTTCCACATAGAACAAGATCATACATACATAGGATTTGGTCTATAAGATCATATGGTGTTTCATTAGTGTTATGCATCCTCATTCAGCGAACAACGGCCACTGGCAAAGGGACCCACTCCTCAAACAGTCCTACTTTCTTTGCTTCCCTCAGCACTCTTCGTTTAGTTTGTTCTGTGAAACTAACAGAACGCAAAAGAATCAAAGATAAGACCTCGCAGCAACCCTTTCAACTCCGTCTATCATGCACGCCACAGGTAAACAAACTAACAAAATTCTCTTCTCTCTCTCTCACACAATTTCTCTCTTCAAATACAGAATTGTGTTCCTTTTCGGAAAACATATGTTTCTTTTTAACTGTATAACCCTGCTTGTAGAAAAAGAAAATTCATAAACAGTGCTGATGTTTTACTAGAATTGAACACCCTTTGACGTTGTTGTTGTTGTTGTTGTCGTGTTATTTTTAGAAAACCTATTAATAGTAATAGAGTTGATGGGTGCTTATGTTGCATTTGAATTTTTTTGATGTTGCTGTGTGTGATGTTTGATGTAGTGAAACGTGCCCCGTTTGGGGGTCTAAGATGACGGTGAAAATCGGACCTTTTTTTTGTTGCCGAGGGTTGTGTTGGGTTGTTGAGGCCTAAAGGTAATGGCTGCTTCTCATGGTAATGCACACTCTGATGCTGCAAAGATGGAACAGATAATCACTGAGTTCTTTGCGAAGAGCCTTCACATAATACTCGAATCAAGGGCACTCAATGTGTCCTCGCGCAATTTCTACGGTGATCAAGCTGTTTTATCTCCTTGTTCATCGTCTTCATCTTCGTCGAGCGTGCGGCCGAGGGATAAGTGGTTCAATTTGGCGCTCCGGGAGTGTCCGGCGGCGTTGGAGAACATTGACGTCTGGCGCCAGAACAATCTTGAGTGCATAGTGATTGATGTGATTTTGGTGCAGAGGCCTCTGGATTGGGACCCTGTGACTGTGAGTTTTTCTCCAAAAAGGGTTCTCCCGAGGAGTTCTTCGCTGAAAGAAAGATGCCCTTTTGGCTGTAACACTGATCAGGAAGAATTGGGGGTTGTGGGAAGGAATGAAAAGATTGTGGAGAGGTGGGTTGTGCAGTATGAGAGTGGGAAGACAAGGGATTTTAGTTCTGGCAGTAGGAGGTCAAGCAGTGTTTCTTTGCATAACTTGTATAAGAAATCAACTTTGCTTTTGAGGTCTTTGTATTCCACTCTTAGACTTTTACCTGCCTACAAAATTTTCAGAGAGCTTCTTTCTTCTGGAAAGATTAGGGATTTTACCCTTGCTCACCGTGTGTCTTCTTTTGTTGAGCCCTTCACCAGGAAAGAAGAGGCAGACATGATGAAATTCGGGTTCACCCCTGTTGATACTTCTTCTGGTAGGCTGTGTCTTAGTGTGATGTATTGCCCCTCAGTCTCAGGAGTGAGCTCAGAACCTTCGACTCCAATGTCCCCACGAGTTATAGCAGACTATGTTGGGAGTCCATTGCCTGATCCGTCCACGAGGTTTCCTTCTCTCCCCGTGGCAGGATTGCCATCTCATGGCTCTCCATTATCGTTGCCATCTTCAAGGCAGCGTAGTTTGAGTTTTGATCATTATAGAACCTCATCTCCGACTTATACACCTTCGCCTACTTATTCAGAATCACTCTCACCAGTGTATAATGCAAGTTTGCGACGTTTCCCCCCTGCAAGTTTGCCTCCTCATCCAACTGAGATGTCTTTGATTCAAAAGAAGAACACAAATTTTGATGATCACTATCCCTATCCATCATCTTCAACAGATTATTCAGGACCGTTACCATGTAAACCACTTTTACGATCTGAAAGTGCTCCTGTCAGCATACCTACTGAAGTTGCTAATTCCCCTGGATACTCCAATAGGCATAATGTGCCTCCGTCTCCTCCCCGAAGAGGTTCAAGGGGCACTGCTAAGATTGATAGAAGTACAAACGCTATGCATACCGGTACAAACGCTGAGAGGGTATGCTGTGCGCTAACTACAATGTTCTTTTTCCATTGTTCAAAATATATTTGATTTGTTAAGGGTGTCTTCTGATTTATGCAGTTCTTTTCTCTTGGAAAAGATGAGTATCGAAAAAATTCTGGAGTCAAGATATCAGCTAACAGCTCACCACAGATTTCAATTTCCAGAAGCTCCAGTAGGTCTTACCAGGATTATCTTGACGATACTGATTTTACTTGTCCGTTTGATGTGGATGATGATGATATAACGGATCCAGGAAGCAGGTACTTCATAACTGAAATTCACTTGCATTTATGCTTGCTTATATGCTAATCTTTTGCATAAGAATAGTCTATTGGCTAGATATGCTAATAACTAGTAACAAAATATGCTCTTGTTGGAGAGAGAACAACACTCTTTATGAATATGATACAATCTAATCCATAATGGGGTAAGCAGGTAATTCAGGTTGAACAAGTTACAGAAACAGGAACACTTCCATCCCTCTGGGATTTCATGTTTCTGGTCTGGGAAAGTCTAGGTAGTAGTAGACTTGTGAGGTTCTGGGTGATCTGGGTTTCAAATTATGTTTAGCAGTTTATCTAGGAATGGAACAAAAATTGACCAACAGTTCAAGAGCAAAATAAGAAATAAGCTCTATTGTATTAATTTCATTATTTCTATCTTCAGTACCAAGTAGGACGAGAGTTTATAACTTTTCCTTCATTCTTTTCCACTCTAGAGATTAGCATCTTCATATTAATTGGTAAATACACCTCCTACTTTTGATAGGCATAAATTTGGCTTCGTCTATATCTTGGTGAAAATTTTGCATATTCTTTTTTTTCTCAAGGTATTTTGGGTCTTTACGAGTGCTACTTAAAATTTTATAAATGTTAAGATATGTATGACAATGATTATAACATTGAAAAGTTTTAGATTCATTATGATTTTCTTACATCATATTACCCATTCTTTGAACGTGTATTTTATTGGTATTTAATGCTATACTTTACAAAACTAAGTGATTGATGTTCCATATTTGGAGTTAATGAATTTGCTGGCTCTGCCTTTTTCCTCTTTAATAGTTTCTCAAACTATAACCTTTAAACAATCAACATTACTCTATTTACTGTTGCACACACCCATCACGTTCTCCCTTATACAGTTCCATTAATTCTCTTGCTTTTGATACAATTCAGATAGTTATGTCTAAAAACCCAGTCGGATATTAGAGAGGGGTGGCTAGACAAAATAACAGGATCAGATGTATCCTTACTGTTATTTGATTGTAAATTTGTAATAAGGGATCCGCAATTCTTTGTAAATAGAGAGGGGTGAATTTTTCACATCTTTGCAACAAACAAGCCATAAGTTATCCTCCGAGAAAGATAAAGAAAATACACCATAGAATATGAAAAAACCAAGAGTTTTTCCATTTTGCCCGATCTTTACATAGTTGAAATAGAAATTCCTTTGAAAAATTCATGAAGAGAGTACCAAAGAGTGGTCACAATATATGATCCATGACATGTTAAGGGGCAGAGAGACACCCTTTAAGATGGGAGGCATTCTGCACTGGACTAGAGGCCATGGTTTTGAGGATCTTCCTCATGTCATCTATGGAAATAGGATCAATGATATTGACTTTGAACCCAATCTTGATATTCCACTTGCTGCAGAGTGGAAGTTAGACCTCTCATGAGAAAGGGTTGACCATGGGTAAAATCTTGCCTGGTATCCTGTTGTGTTGGGTGTGAATTCTATAATGATAAACACCCAAGTAGCTAGGGAACTCCTCCCTTAAAATCTAGGTGTTAAGAGAGGAGAACCAAATACTGGAATATTCCATCTGGGACTTGAGCGCTCAATATTATCTCCAAGTCCTTATCATAAGATTTTCTAAGGCCCCTGAACACTCCATATTAATAACATTCCATTATTGTTCAGAATAGTTGCTTAGGGCTACCTGTTGTTTAGTATGTATTTACGAGATTCAATCATTTGGAATGCTCCTTGTTAATAGAAATAATGATTTGCTTAGCCTTTAACAGATATAAAATAGTTCAAGTGTGCTTTCAAAGATGACCGACCGAAAACAAAGATATTGGGTGTTATTTTGTACCAGAGTAGGAATTATTTATAGTATTGTAGGAATTAATTGGTTGATTTGGCATCTATTGCTGCATGCATGAAAATCAATTTGCTACATAAAGTACACTATTGTGTTTTTTGTGAACCATCATTCTCATTTGATGTAATTTGGTCACTCTTGTAAATCTCTCAACTGTTTCCTCTACTACTATTATATTTTATTGGATTGAACTTTGACTAGCAGACATATTCTTCATCTTAATTTTAATTTTGAGTGACTATTAACTTGTTATCCATCAAGATAGAGGTCTACTTGCAGGTCTGTGACTCGGTTCACAATTTCACTTTGATTCTTGTGCTAATTACAAATACATGTTTCATTTCTCTATATTGAGTCAAACTTCAAAGAAAGCATACAACCTGGTGTTTTCTTCCTTTTCTTTAAGCTATAAATAACATAAAATTTGATAGACTGTGTTTTAATTTAGCAATTTTAACATGATTCCTTGTGCATAACCAGAGCTGAATCTCCATATCATGGTCTTTTGGCTGAGACTTATGAATCTGGAGGATTCTTTCCCATTAGAAAGTCTCATGATGCTGCGGTTGGTGCACTTGTACAAATGCTGAAGAAAGCGCCACCTCTCCGTCAAGATTTCTCCACTTCACAACACCTGTCAAAAGGAGGTACAAACGTAGAAACTGGGAACAATAACATTCAAGGGCCCAGTCATATCCTAGAATCATCAAGACCAGCGAGCATGATGTCTTCTGGGATCATAGCCACTAGAAAAACCACAGCTGATGCACTGGAAGAGTTCCACGGTTACAAAGAGATGAAAAACTTGTTGCTTATGCGAGGTAGTAAGCACCAGATATAGTACATAACGAATGGTATAGTTACTTACGCTTCCTCTGCCGAATGGCACTAATGCTGATGTTAAATCAGTAAAACACATGTACAGTTTTTAAGTCTTTTTATTTACTTGATAAATTGGTCCATCCAATTTGAAGAATGTTATTAGTTTTGAAAATACGTGTAAATATGATGATTAAGTCTTTATGACTATAGAGTTTTGATCTATGATCTGGTCTTATATTTTGTAAAATACTTAAAACTTCTGATAGTCACATATCTATATAACACCATAGAAGCAGCATTTATAAGCTGTAGATAACTACCTCTTTTATTATATTATTATACACACATAGTGAAAGGTCATCATTTAGGTAATAATAATACGCATACAGTGGATACAATCGAATTCTTGTCAGACTCTATGTATCAACATAATCTTCTTGTACTGAGTAGGCATTTAGTTCCTTAAAAGCTGCACTCAGAAAGAAGCATACATCATACATCAAAATCGTGTTTTCCTTTAATCGTTCTTCTGTTTTTTCAATGAGCTTGTATTCTTTTGACATGAAACTATAGTCCAAACTTGAGCCTTTGTTTTTAAAATACCCACCTAAATATCTTCGAAAAAGAAAAGAAAAAGTCAATACAGTGATTTGAGTGTGAACTTTATACCACAATCCTGTACCATTCAAAAGGAGATTCCAAGCTGGGTACAGTCTCCATATTAGGAGAGTGTAATTGTGGAGTTAGCTTATAAACATTTAGTTGTTTTTCACTATACTTATTCATATTAATATAACTCAGAATCACTGGATATTTTACCATTATTTTCTCTTATACTCTCTCAATAATTTGATTACACTTTTATGTTGCTGTTGGGTAAAAATAAACTAGAAGCTAATTTATTTTTATACAAACAATAGTAAATGTATTATATGGTAAAATATATTATTTAAATAGTTGTTACGACTATTTTTGTTAATGTTGATTAGGAAAATTTTTGGTCAACTTTAGCTAAGATTATTTTGGCCAATGTCAGGGAAAAAATAACTATGGTCGATGTGAATAGAAAAACTCGTTTCAATATCAATTGAAGGAAAAATTTCGTAACTTTAACTGAAAAATAACCTCAATAAATTATCAATTAAATAACATTATACCTACTAACATTTTAAAATTATTAAATATGTTCAATTTCAAAATAAGTTTTTATGTTTAGTTGAAATTGAAATATTTATATAAACAAAAATAAATAAATTATTTCATCCACATAAAATATTTCAAAAATAATATAAAAAATAAAACAATGAAAATTTAATATATTTAAAATTTCCTAAATTTTATGAAATTTTTATTCCAAACATATTGTAAAAATTTCATAGACGGGAAAAAATTGAATTATTTTACTTTTGATTGAAATTTAATATTTTGATCATCAGGGTGGGTTTAAATAGAAAATAGTTTATATTAATAAAATAGTTTATATTAATTTTCACATTATTTGAACCCTCATTATTTTTTATCTAACTATGCGTATTTTAAATAAATTTTTATTTGTTAAAACAGCGTGACCTGAATAATTGATTTTTTATTTGCATTAAATTTTATAAAACAATTTGTATTAAAAAACTTATTTTAATGATTGAATAAGACAAAGAAAAAAAGGGAATTGTAAATATAGAACATTAAACTCATATTTAAATGTTCGGTATTAAAAAAATAATTACATACAATTTTTAAATAGTGATCTTCCTTTAACCACTAATCTTATTTTATCAGGACGGAACCTAGATTTATTATTATTAATTTCAGAAAAATTAAATCTTTAATTAAACAGTCGGAGTTGGACTAGTAAAACTTAAGTTGAATTTGAGTTCCTGAAAATAGGTTGAACATAATATCAGGTCAAAATATTTAAGAAATTGGTATTTATAGTAAAATTGAATTAAATTTATTTTAATTTTATTTATTTAAAATAAAAAATAAAAAGTGATATTATTTTATTAATATATATATATATATATTATAAATTAATTTGATAAATAATTTATTTATTTCAAGAATAAATATCATATTAAGTCTTTAATAATTATTTATTTTAATATCTAATATTTAATTATTTATTATTTTAGATTAATAAATTATTAAAAATAAATTATAATAATAAAGAATAAGGGTGTGTTTGTGTATAGACAATAAGAAAGGAAATGCATTGAAAATTAGAAAATTCAGGCAGAAGTTTTAATATTTCCCTTTGTGCGAAGAAAGCCACGGAAATATTACATAATGGATTATTTAAAATCAGATTATGCAATCATTTTTATTTAAAAAAATTTAAAAGTAAAGTTCTAATTATAATAAATAATAAAAAATAAATAAATAAATTTATTTTTAATTTTTATTTATTTATTATTTATTTTTAATTTATTCAACTAATTATATTACTCAAAAATTTTGATAAACTTTTTATCATTTTTTTTATTCTAAAATTTTTTTCTTTTCATTCAAATAATTCTATTTAAAAATCTCTTTCCTCTTAAATTCACTCATTTTCATTTCTTTAAACTCATTTTCATATCTAAACACAACTTAAATTTTTAATTCTTGTTTTATATTAAAAAATAAATAATTCTTTTATAATTTATATATTAAATTATATTTTAAATAAAAAAAATTTATATAATTTTTTTTTAAATTAATTATTTAAATAAATTATTAATAATTAGATCAAAATTATCTGTTAACGTAAAATTGTACCATACTAAAAATTACATATTTTAAAAATATAATAAAACAAGAAACCTAATTTCAGAATTGAATTAATAGTTTAAAATTTAATAAATTAATTGTGATGCTTTTTTTTAGAATAAATCAACCCGACGTATATATTTCTTTATTCAGAGATGGTTATACAGATATTTAAGTTTAATAATAATTACGATATGCATAATTACAAACAGAAATTTAATAATAACTTTTTCACAACTTTACATATATTATTAATAATTAATAAAACATTAATATAATATAGTCATTAATATATATATATATATATATTATTTTTTTATGAAAAGTAAAAATTACATCTTATTAGTTTTAATTTTTTAACAAATTATTTACCATGTTTTTAAAAAATGGGATAAATTTAAAGCATATCAGCTTATGAGGAAAAATAATTTCAGTGCAGCTTGTTTTATTGTACAAGTATAAAAGAAAGATAGATTTTATTATTATTATTATTATTATTTATGAAAATTTAACAATGTACGTACTATGCCCAAATACTAGGAAGGTGCATGATGTGACAATTACATATATAAGAATAAGACTAAACTTTTTGAAATAACTGCTACAAACAATGTGACAACTACTTTTTATTATTTTCCATTTTCTATGTAACGAAAGAACACTGGTACATGGTTGTTGTGTTGGGGACCAATAGAGTCACCAACAACTAAATCAATTTGTTAATACATGTCACATCTTTAACTTATTCCTATTATCTATTATTATTTATTACTAACAAAATTTACAATGTTACAAGTAATAGTAATAGATATTACTTTTATTTATAATTTTAAAAGTAATTATATTTTAAGATATCTTTGCACCACCAATAATAATTTAAACAATTATTTAGTTTTCAATTTAAATGTGTAATTAATTTTAAAACAATTCACAATATATTATTTTTAGTAACCATCACTCGTATATTTAATGTGATAACATATATTTATAATATCATGATGTGTTTGATAATAGTATATACAATATTTCACTTCAACTACATCAAATAAACTAAATTATAATATATAGTGGAATATATAATATCTTACTTCAACTCAGTTAAATAGACCCAACTATAATATATAGTTAGGATGTAATTCTAATATTATAAATTGATTTTGTAAAATTAAGTTAGATTTATATTTATTTTTTAACTATATTAATTCTTTGTTCATTTGTGGGTTCATGTTAGATTGAACATTTTAAGCCATAACTTCGAATTTAATTCAAGCCTTGGAGAAAAATAAAAATAAAAGGACACAGTAAATTCTAAACTTAAATTCTAAAATAAAAGTTCGCAAAGTATTTTTTTCCCTAAAAAATACAAATAACACGTTTTTGTTTTTAGTTTAATATTTAATGATTTAATTTAGTTGATTGAAAAGTATGTATGAGTTGTTGCAATTTTTTTAACATATAATTAACTTTTATTAATAAAAAATAATAAATTATTGTGGATTTATTTCACCAGACAAGTATAGAATCACATAAAGACATTCACTTGAAGTTTGACTTTTATATACAGTCCACAAATCTTTCGTACATATATAACTAGAGTTAAAAAAATAAAATAGATAATTAAATGGATGAGTTTGTTTGTTTGTTTGTTTAGCTTGATTTTAGGTCGTAAATAGTTTAATTTAATTTAATTCATGAATTCAATTGTCGCACTTTATATAGTATAGTTGACTGAATAAAAATATACACATTGAATAGAGTAGAGTAAATTTTGTGGTGTGTTTCCAATTCTCAGTAATAAAAAAGTAGATTGAAGTGAATTATTATTGTGGGCACTATTTGGGCCCGTCACTGACGTCAAATTAAGAGATTAAGAAATAGTTTAGGGGCTAATGATGAAATGAGCAATAGCTTAGGTAATACATGAGATATTTAAAGCAAGTGTGGCAAGGAGCAAATAAAAAAATGTTGGTTGAAGAATCACAAATTTCAAATAAGGTCATTAAAAAGGAGAATATTCGCATGCACATCATCGTCGAATGAATTGGCTTATACGGCTCACGATTTTGTCCTCTCCTGTCGTCACAACCCTAACCCTATTATTTCTCATTTTCTTTCTTTATTTTGTTGTAATATAATAATTTAAAACACAAAGTTATTTTAATCTATTAAAGAAATGTTAAAGATTCAAAATAAATACTTAATTCTTAAAATGAATATATATATATATATATATGTATATATTGATTAGATAATTTAATAAACATAAAAAATAGAAATGTTTAAATATAAAGTAACTATTTTGTAAATTTAAAATAATTTAAATAATTATATCATGATTAGTATAATTTTTACATATACTAACATATAAAATTACATCAACATTACTACAAATATTATGACTTTGATAAATATTTTAAAATTACTAAAAATCCAAATGACATATTAAATTAGAGTGAAAAATTCTGTATTATTTTTTTTTCAAAATATTAAAATACTAGTGATATATTTAAAAATTTAAATATGATTTAAACCAAAAAGAAAATTTAAAATTATTCACGTAGTATATATTAATTTTTTTAAAAATATTAAAACTCTAATCATACATTAATAAATTACTAAAGAAAAACCATATTTTTTTCTAATTTACAAGCCTAAACCAAAATAGCATATATTAAACCATAACATATATGAAATATTTTATTTATTTTAATATATAATAACTCTAATGCCGTTTTGAGAAATTACTAAAAATACCTTAATCCTAAAAGAATATAAAAAATTGTAAGCAAATAATATTAAAACCTCAAAGGCTAATGACATACTCAACGCTAATTACATATCCCATATTAACATTTTTTTTAAATATTAAAATACTAATGAAATTTTTTTTTAAATTAAATCTAAAGAAAAAAATATTCACCATATTACATATTAAAACTTTTAAAATTATTAAAACTCCAGTCATATATTTATAAATTATTAGACAATTGAAAAATAATTTTACGCTCCTCCCATAATATATAAAGACATAAAATTTAGAGCATCGAAAACATCTTCTCAACCAGTTTATAATCTATGATATATATCTCAAGTGTGAATTAACCACATATGCAAATTATCTTTTTTTCTTACATTTCTTCATCCTGTATTTAAGCAATAGAACCACATAAGCAAGCAAAATTTGAATAATAGAAAAAAAAAATCAATTAATTATGCACGGGCAACAGGTAGAACTACACCAGCATGACTATGCTCACTTGTTTGTGCAAGTGATTATGTTTAATTAATAGTAGGACACAATCCCTTTGTCTCAACTCTCTGCTGTAACTTTCACGTCCTTAAACCAGTCCTAATCATGTATTTGTAAGTATGTACTTTTTGCTATTGCGTAAGCTCACTCAGAATCTCCTTTTCCACTCACCAAACCAAATGGAGGAGACAACTTCTCACCAATAAACTAATAGGGTACCAAGAATATACTCCACTTCTTCATTTCAAATTCTGCATCTTTCTATTCAGAATTCCCCCCAAGTCCACCCACTGAATTGTTAAATGCTTCCAAACCCCTGTTCATAAATTCATTATCTTTTGATAACTTTTTATTGGACTCACTCTTAGCAGTGTTCTTCGTCCACATGTCCTCTATTTATTTAAACAAACACGTTAAAAATCATCATAAGTAGCTAACAATAAACTTATGACTAGCAGGTTGCAGATTCCTTGCCATTTCTAAAACACTAGGGGTGTGAGGGTGCAATTTAGCATCTAAACATTCGAATTGATTTGATCATGGTATTTTTATTAACGCTTTATTAAATGAAAAATTGTTGAGAAATCCTATATAAGTCTAGATAACTCTATAATATATAAATGAGTCCAATCTTCATCTTATTTAACCAGTTATGAGAAATTGAATCACGTATCTTACCATTTTTAAGAAAATAAATATTAAGTGAGTCATGCACGGAACAAAAATGCAATTTAGGTACAGTACAGTGTGACTGTTGTTGTGTGTAGATTAAGGTAGGAGGGTTATTGTGTAAGATGAAGAAAGTGTTAGGAAAAGAAGAGAGTGGTGAAAGCGAAAGAACTAAACAAAGAAGTCAATTTTTTAAAAGTTCCTTAATGTAACATAATAATGATTTCATTACATGGTGTTAGAGTTTAGAACTATCTACTTGTTTAATAATTGTCAATTCAATATTATTAGGTTGTCTATATATAGGAGTACTCAAGTTAAGTTTCAACCAAGGTCTCCCTTGTTTAAGCTTTTTTAATTCCTATTTTTTCATCATCTGTGATGGATTATGAGCAATTTGATTACTCATTTGGCTCTCCTTACATGAACCAACTCCATGAGTGTTGCTTCGAAAATGCATTTCCATTTCAAACAGAAGATATCTTAACACCAAATATCATCCTGGATGAAATATTTGATCAAGATTCCATGGAGGACTTGCTGCTGGAAGATACTAACAACCAGGACATTGGTTTCCTGAATCATAATGATCCACCGGAGACTGAATTTTGTCATGGATTTGCCCCTAGTCCCGAGGAAAATGTGCATGATTCAGTGGAAGAAGGAGATTCTTATTTGAAGGAAATCCAAGCAGAGCTAATGGAAGAGACTAGTTTAGTTGATCTCTTGTTAACAGGAGCTGAAGCTGTTGAAGCACACAACTGGGCCCTTGCTTCAGATATAATTGAAAAACTAAATAATGCCTCATCTTTACGAAATGGTGATGGTTTGTTGAACAGGTTGGTTTTTTTCTTTACTCAGGGTCTGTATTATAAAAGTACAAATGCCCCAGAGTTGTTGCAGCATAGTGCTGTTTCTACACACACGAATGCTTTCTGTGTGTTTCAGGTTCTCCAAGAACTCTCTCCCTATGTGAAATTTGCTCATTTCACAGCAAACCAAGCAATCTTAGAAGCCACAGAAGGTGTTGAGAATGTTCACATCATTGATTTTGATATCATGGAGGGGATTCAGTGGCCACCCTTGATGGTTGACTTTGCAATGAGGAAAGGTACTACTTCCCTTAGAATAACAGCCATCACAGTGGACCAGAGAGGTACCGCTTCTGCTCAACAAACAGGAAGACGGCTCAAAGAGTTTGCAGCTTCTATCAACTTTCCATTCATGTTTGATCAGATAACGATGGCAAGAGAAGAAGATTTTCAAGGAATTGAACTTGGTCAAACACTGATAGTCAACTGTATGATGCACCAGTGGATGCCTAATAGAAGCTTCTCATTGGTCAAAACTTTCTTGGATGGTGTGACCAAATTGTCCCCGAGGCTTGTGGTCTTAGTGGAAGAAGAATTGTTTAATTTCCCTAGGCTCAAGTCCATGTCCTTTGTGGAGTTCTTCTGTGAGGCTTTGCATCACTACACTGCACTTTGTGATTCACTTTCTAGTAGTCTATCGGGTAGCCACAAGATGGGGTTGAGCATGATAGAGAAAGAGATTCTGGGGCTCAGAATCTTGGACAGTGTGAGGCAGTTTCCTTGTGAGAGAAAGGAGAGAAAGGTGTGGGAGGAAGGGTTTTATTCCTTGAAAGGGTTCAAACGTGTTCCTATGAGTACATGTAATATGTCACAAGCCAAGTTCTTGGTAAGCCTCTTTGGTGGAGGGTATTGGGTCCAATTCGAGAAGGGTAGGTTGGCCTTGTGTTGGAAATCAAGGCCTTTGACTGTGGCTTCAATCTGGTTACCAATGGCTTATTCGACTGACAAAGCCAAATAGATTGAATTTTGTTTTTTACTATTGAGTTGTTTCTATAGGTTAAGTGGCTTTTGTGTTGTTTCTTCATTCATTTTGGTGCATGGACAGGAGTATCAGAGGATTGGGCGTTTCAATGTATTTGTACAAAATAATTAGTTGAGGTTCTGTAAATTATTTTCTAAATTAGTTTAATATGCTTATATTTCAATTATATGTATTTTTAATTTATAATTAATTAAGACTAATAATCTACTGATGGAGCTAAATGAGCTATTTCTTCCTTCCTTATCAAAGCAGAGTTTCCAAGATACAGTCTTGTTTTGTTTTGGTAGAAGAAAATCTAATTTCATTCATAAACCTAAGAAGAAAGAGTGAAATACCAAGTTTTTAAAAGAAATAAAAATAGTAGAGATAATTGTGAATATATACAATGAATTAAAAGAAAAAAAAAGTGTTATTTGAATATGAAAAACTTTGTTGACTTACATATATGACTAGCTGTCAGCCAGAAATAACAAGATCCGGTTTTAAATGACAACTGTTATTTTGTTGGCTAAGAATTAGGATCTGAATCTTTAATTTGATTGCTTGAATAATTCAATTTATGGATTTTTTAAAAAACTCTGTCAAAATGCAATCAACCTAAGTGTAACCAAGTGTTGATGACAAATAAAGTTCCAATGTAATCAATTCATCTGTCGGCCTTTGTAAATGTTTTTGAAAATTATAAATTATTTTCAGAATTGTGGTTTCATATATAATTATTAATTACACTCAGAAATGTGGTTTGACATGTAATTATTAATTATATATACTATAATCAAAACTTTTATAACCAGTCGTACAGACATGCAGATTGTTACAAGATAAGATCAATTGACCTAAAATATTACTTCATAAATTATTTATTAAAAATTATTACATACATCTACTTCACTTTTGTTAACAAAGTTTGGAATATACAACGGCAAAGCATGAGAGGTTAATGTAATTTCCAAACATGCAGAGTATATGGTGCCAGCAATTATATGTGGAAAAATACTACACCAGCCGTTGAAGCTTAACCTCTGGTAGAAAATGTCATAAAACCGTAACACTTTCATTTCTAAACCACTTCAATTCTCGCTCCATTATGCCTATAAATCTTCTCTCTCAATCACTGATACACTATCCGTGACACCACAATCCTGTTATAATTGAAAGGTCAATGCCCAAAACTCATTAACCATCAGAGACGCATTTCACGACACAGAACTGAACACAAATAACAGAATATGACGCTGAAATAAAATTCTCCCTACAACAAAAATGCCCACAATCCAAAATCCAGAAGTAAAAAAACAAAAACCCCAACATTGCAGAAGTGTTAAATCAAAGTTCCACAAACTAAACTGTGGAAATGGTTAGCCTAAATGGAAAAACTTGGCACCCAATATGTAAACCCATCGGCATAAATGTACAAAGTGAAAGACTTCAGATATCGGATACAAGTGCAATACAGCTTTACCAAGCAGAACACACGTAGTTTCGCAGCTAAAAATATCTATTTTCACTGTAAGAGATTCCGAATACAAGTCTTTATGATGTTACACGACCAGAATTTGAGTGTTACCTTGAGGAAGGAGCAAAGAATACTTCATCAAAGCAAAAAAACAACATATATCATAACACCAAAATTAAACAAAAAAATGATCCTGGAGAGTGTGTTCACTCGGTTGCAGCCTTTGCACTCCGAAACCCTTTCTTCAATTCCGCAAATCTTCTCATACAAGCCGCTTTGGATCTCCCGGGAACCGCTGCAGCAACCTTCTCCCACCTCATTGAAACATCCTTAGGAAACACTTTCAATGCATTCAGCAACGCGATATCCTCACCAGAACGCCAACCATTCTCAACAGCTTTCTCCACCGTCACCGAATTCTCATCTCCAGTCTCCTCCACAACCCTCTTATCCAACGCCTTCCTGTTCTTCAAGAACAATGCATAAGACTCCGAATCATCCACTTTCTTTTCCCCCAACTCCTTCGACTTCATTATTACACTCTCTACGCCGTGCCTTCCGCCGAACGCCGCCGATATCGCCTCCCACCGCCCCGGCTTCCCCACCGGATTCTTCACCATCTGCTTCTTCAGCACCTCCACATCCTCCTCGCTCCAATCCTTCTCCTCCATCACCGTCGAAACCTTCTCCACTCCGCCACCTCCTCCTCTCTTCTCCGCCGCGGAGACGGAAACCACCGGACCGACGGCGGGGTCTTCCTCGGGCCTCCGCTGTCTGGATCTCCGCTGCGGAGGCTTCCTAATATCATCGTCTGCTTCAGACTCCGGATCAGGGAAGTTGACAACCTCTCCGAGGCCGACGCGGACGTCGCCGCCGGTGATGGAGGGCGGAGCGAAGGGGCCGAGGAGGAGAGAGAGCGCGAGCCAGAAGAGGAGCGATTTGAAGGGTTCGGATTCGAGGAAGAAGAGAGAGAGAGCGAGGAAGAGCGAAGAGAGAGAAACGGTGACGAAGAGAACCGGCTTGGTAGGTTTGTGGTTCGGCTCCGGTGGTTCGGTGCTCGCAACGGCACCGGACTGGAACACGAACCTTGGCCTCGCGTCCTCGTCCAGGAACTCCATTCTCGCACGAACAATTGAAACGAAAACGCCAAAATGAGGAAACGTCATCGTTTACATATTTTATAGCTTCAGGCCGCTATCCTTATTGGGCTAATGGGCCTTCATTGGCTAGGCCCGTGAAGTATATTTTTTAGTTATTTCAGGTAGGTATAATATTAGTATATCTAGTCCCATGAACGAACGGGAAAACGACAAAGACAGTGTATGAAATAGAGTGTGACGGCGATGCGGAATGTAGAGACGACGGCGACAGGAACAAACAATGATTGTGATCTGTGAAGATATTTAATTACAAGGAAGAGAAATAAGATAGATAATAAAACCATGCAGTGTTTCCTGGATTTTGTTTTCTTGATACAGAACAAGTGCTGCGTGTTTCATTCCCGACACTTCTTATCTCCATTTTTCAGCTAATTCTTCAATTTCATTTAGGGTTCTGTTTTTTCAATTAAGTTCTCGAACCCGCTCTTCAGGTAAAATGAGACGCCTGGCTGCATTCATTGTTTTTTCTCTTCCTACATTCACGTAATTTCGTGAATGCGAGTTGGTGCAATTTTGAAATTCCTCCTTTGTTTGCTTACGTTTTCAATTTGATGATTTCGAATTCAATGTAGGTTTGGATCATAGTGCCGTGAAATGAGTTTGGCGGGGACAGAAAGTTCGGAGGAGGGTGCAGGGCATCTGGAGCCTCCTGATCCTGATATTCTTGAAATCGATCCAACATGCACCTATATCAAGGTAATGTGATTTTTTTTTCTTTATTTATTTTCTTTGGGACCAAAATAGAATTATATGTAAATGCAGTAAGCTAATTCTGTTTTTGCATTCACTACAGTACAAAGAAGTGATCGGCAGAGGAGCCTTCAAAACTGTGTATCCGTTGCTTTCTTTAACATACGTGTTTCTTTCGATTCTTTGGCAGCATTGTGATTACAAGACAATGCTTTTATTTTATCATGGACTGTTTTTGCTGTGCTGCTAAAATTAAACATTTTTATTGCTAAAGGTGTCTAGGTCTTTGACATAATGTTATGCATTTTTTTTGTGGTTAAGAAGAAGAATATAATGATTGGGGTTGTTGACCTTTTTGTTTCTAGTTATATAAGTTTTCCTTATTTCTTATTAATCAGTTACAAGGCATTTGATGAAGTCAATGGGATTGAAGTTGCATGGAGTCAGGTTCAGATTGATGAGGTTTTACAGTCCCCCGGTGACTTAGATAGGCTATATTCAGAATTGCACCTCTTGAGATCACTGAATCACAGTAACATAGTAAGATTCTACAATTCCTGGATTGATGACAGGCGCAAGACCGTTAATATGATTACGGAGTTGTTTACCTCGGGTAGCCTCAAACAGTATGTTCACCTTCCATTTTGTGCATACTATTTCCTTGTGCTTTTTATTTTGAAATCGACCTTTTGTAAGTGGATGCAATGCACGATATAGGTTTCGCAAAAAACACAAGAAGGTTGACTTGAAGGTCGTTAAAGGATGGGCAAGACAAATTTTAATGGGTCTAAAATATCTCCACGGTCACAACCCACCAGTTATTCATAGGGACCTGAAATGTGATAATATATTCATCAACGGTCACCAAGGAGAAGTTAAAATTGGAGATCTTGGGCTAGCAACTTTCTTGGATCGAAATAATGCCAAGAGTGTAATTGGTATGCTTTTCTGTTTCCCTGCACTTTCTTGTTCTATTGACATATGTGTTGATCTTTTGAGTCAGAAGTTAAATTTATTTTTTAATCATTTTCTCATCTCACCGTTGTAGCAATAGTAATAGACCTTGATTCTTTTTCCCAACGCTATTTGATTAATATACTTGTTCTATTTACACCTACCTAATCATGGTAGGAACCCCGGAGTTTATGGCACCCGAGCTGTATGATGAAAATTACAATGAATTAGCTGACATATATTCATTTGGTATGTGCATGCTTGAGTTAGTGACGTCTGAGTATCCTTATAGCGAATGCAGAAACTCAGCCCAGATATACAAGAAAGTTTCATCCGTGAGTATCACATAATAAGTTTCTTTCTTTTTTCATTGGCCATGACTAAGATTATTGGATCATATAATATTTGACCTTGCAGGGTATAAAACCTGCTGCACTTTCTAAAGTGATAGATCCAGATATGAAAGCATTTATTGAGAAATGTCTAGTACCAGCGTCTCAAAGATTGTCAGCCAAGGAGCTTCTCATGGATCCGTTTCTTCAAACAAATGCTTCAACAAAGATGGGTCCTTTTCCATTGCCACATATTGTTCTTCCTAAATTGGGAGCCTCTGAAAGTCGTTGTATGGTGTCAGAAGGTCCTGCTACTGTACGTGATGGAGACATTTCTATGGATCTTGGTGACATCAATGAGCTTCCAGTGATTACTATATTTGATAAATCCACTGATGATGCCTCATGTTCTTCAAGTGTTGAGATAAGGAGGCAGAAGAGAGGTGATATTTTCTTTCTAAAAGGTGAAGAAAATGATAAGAACTCTGTGTCATTGGTTCTGCGGATAGCTGATCAAGGTGGTCAGTATATAACTTATAGCTCATTTCTACTGTGTAACAACTGTGTTTTAAATTTATTGATGAAAAGTTATATGCTTTGGCGTTAATATGCAGGACGAGCAAGAAATATCCATTTCATATTCTACCTTGACAGTGACACTGCTGTTTCAGTTTCAAGCGAAATGGTTGAGCAACTTGAACTTACTGATCAGAATGTTAAATTCATAGCTGAATTAATAGATTTGTTATTGACGAATTTGGTTGCTGACTGGAAACCCTGTGTAGCTATTGATCACTTGGTTACTCCTAGTAATAAACAAACTCATGTGAGCCAACAGGGAGCGTTGAAGTTGGCAAAATGCAAAGGAAGCTCAAAAGATTCGACTGAAGATTTAGGCCCCTCTACCTCATCTGCAACATTGGCTGCAAAAGAAAACCTGGATAATATGGATATCGATGGAGCTTTATCATACGATTGCACTTATCTTCAGAAAGCACCCAAATCAGATGATCCTTGCTCTGAGAAGTCGTATGCATCTGCAACAACTGAATTCAATGATAATAAGTTTTCTACGGTTTCATTCATGTCTGCTGCATCAGAATTTGATGGAGGAAGTCAATCCTCGTTTGCTTCTGAAATTGAGGGGTCACCTGATTCGAAGAGCAGGTTTTTAGACCTGGAAAACTTCTCTAATAGTCTCAACATTGTTTCTTCCTCGTTTGACCTTGAGACTGAATTGAAATTAGAGTTAGAAATGATTGAACAGAAGTATCAAGAAGCAATTAATGATTTATCCCAAAGAAGATACCAGGCTATCATGGAGATTAGAAGGAGAATGTCAGAAAAAATGGTATCATAGAATAGTTTCACTAGTTTTTTTCCTCGTGTTTGGGATGGGATATCAGGTTTTACTAGTCTTTTTAATAGTTACCTGCTGTGTTGTGCCCATCCTTTCTCTCTCATACCGGTGCCGTTGAAGTGTAAATACTGCGGTGTGAGTGATTGAACGTTCCTTGTTATGGCAGTTTGCAACAAATTTTCTCTTCATGGATATGTAGAGTTTTTTACTTCTTCGTATTATCTATTTTAGAAGATGGTACGAAGAAGTTTGTCGTCTTCAATATTGACATCAATTTAATTTCATTTCAAGTATATTCAATATTTGTGATTATTTCTCCTCAAATCTAAAATAAACTGGCAGTAAATACCATCTAATTATTGTTTATGACTAGCATTGGCAAGATTTCATCTAAATATTTTTATTTGAATTGTTTTTTTTTTCAAAATTAATTCAAGTGAATACAAAATAAGTTAAAAATAAATCGTTTTACACTTGGAAAACGGAAAACACAAATTTAAAAGAAAAAAAATATTTAATAGGTCTATAATTAAGAAAAGTAGTATTAAAAATTTAAAATTACAAGTTATTGTTTATTCAGTTGCATAATACCATGTTATTTAGTTGAGGTAAATATATATGTATTTTCAGAAAAATGAATTTCAAAATATTTACAAGAAAATTAACGAAAGAATGTGTGGTATTTAAAAAAAAAAACTTTAAACACATAAATAGCTTCCGTGATATTTGGTTAGGAAGGTTAGAATATTTTCGAAGAAAATAATGAAAGTTTGTGGTATTTAACTAAAAGCAATTACAACTTGTAAAATGTGTTATGGAATAAAAGTATATAAATTTGATATATTACTTTGTACGGATTTTTTTTTCATACAAATTAATATAATTTTGTTTTCTCATCGTATATAATTTTTATTTATTTATAAAGTTTTGGAAATTTTTGTTCTAATCGTATATAATTTATTCTCTTTTTATGTAAACATAAACTTATGTCCACTACTTAATATTTTTTAGGAAAAAAATGTAATATATTATATTATACAAGTTAATTATGATTATACTCGATCGGTTAAACCTTTAGACACTATATTCAAATTCATACGGATTTTTTTTTTAATTATTGAATATTATTTTTGAATACGCTGAAATAAATTTCATTAATTTTAAAAATACAAAATTTAGTAATTAAAATTAAAATTAAAATTAAAGTCACGACAAATATAATTATAAAACCTGATTATTATTATTATTATGAATTACAAATAAAATTAAACTAGTTAAAAAAAATGTGATATAAAAATACTAGTTTTAAAAACACAGGCAAAAAAGAGAAAAAAAGAAGAAAAAAGAAGGTGTTTTGGCGGGACGGAACAATTTCATTCGAACCTTGAATAGATTGCGCGCGGGTCTGAGCAACATTTGTGTTTGCCTTCGCAAAACCCACCCTACAGAGAAAAGAAGAGTATCTAAGAAAACCACGACGACACCTTTCTCCGTCGTTTCAAGATGGACACGGAGCTGAAGTCGGCAAAAGCGGCATACCGGAGCGCGAAAGCGGAGGGAAACCACCGGGAGGAGGCGCGGTGGGCCAACGTCGTCGGTGACATACTGAAAAACCGAGGAGAGTACGTAGAAGCCCTCAAATGGCTACGAATCGATTACGAAATTTCGCTCAAACATTTACCGGAGAAGCACTTGCTCCCAACCTGCCAATCCCTCGGCGAAATCTACCTCCGCCTCGAACACTTCCCCGACGCCCTAATTTTCCAGGTCAGTACTTCTCCCTCTCAAAACCCTAATCTATGCTTTCCTTTCTAACACCGAGAGTTTTACCGGTCACAGAAAAAACACTTAGAGCTCGCGAGGGACGCAAACGACGTCGTCGAGCAGCAGCGAGCGAGCACGCAACTCGGACGCACTTATCACGAACTGTTCTCGCGATCGGATCACGATCACAACTCGATTCGCAACGCAAAGAAGTACTTCAAGTGGGCGATGGATCTCGCGGTGAAGCTCAAAGAGAATCCTCCGAACAACAAGTCTTCTTATCTGAAGGAGTATATCGACGCGCACAACAACATAGGCATGCTTGAAATGGATCTCGATAACTTACACGAGGCGCGGAAGATTCTAACTAGTGGGTTGGAGATTTGTGATGAAGAGGAGGTCGCTGAATTCGACGATGGCCGCAGTAGGCTCCATCACAACCTTGGGAATGTGTATATGGAACTTAGGCTTTGGGATGAAGCTAGGAAAAACATCAAGAAGGATATAGTGATTTGTAACAGAATTGGACACTGTCAAGGGGAGGCCAAGGGGTATATTAATTTTGGTGAAATGCATTACAGGACTCAGAGGTACGAAGATGCTAGGGCTTATTACGAGAAGGCGCTTGGTTTGGCGAAGTCCTTGGAGGACGAAGATGCTTTGGTTAGGCAAATTGAGCAGAATATTGATACTGTGCGAGAAGCTGTTAAGGTAATGGCTGATATAACGAAAGAAGAGCAAAGCCTTAAAAAGCTTAAAAGAGATATAGCCGCGGCTAGAGGGACATCCAATGAGCGGAAATTCTTGCTGCAGCAGAATGCAGTTCTTGAACGTCTTGTTGAGAAAGCAAGGATGATCCTTGCGTGGGAGAAGGTATTTGTTCTATCTTTGTGTTTCTTTATCGTGATTTTGTTAACTGATTATTTCTGGCTTGGAATGACCATTTTTGTCTGGAATTTTTATGATTTAATGAGGCAATTCATAATTTATCCGATACTTGTGTTCAGGACACCAAGTGAGTTTCATTGTTCAATTTTTGTTTATCATGTCAAGAAAACAGATGCTTAACCTGCCTTGATATGTTGCATCACATCAATTTCATCATTTCATTTTTTTTTCTTACTTCGAATGCTACACGTGAAGAAGTCTTGGCTTGGTCTACTATTATTGCTTTAAGGAATAGATGTAGACACGCACATGGTTTGTTTGCCATAGATTAAGCATAGATTCATCAAATTTGTTTTAAGCATGGTTTGTTTTGTTGTGCAATTTATTCAATTGAAAAGCCATTTGATTTTTACTTTAAGGAAAATGAAAAAATTTGTTAAGTAATATATGATGTTTTCCTCCATATTTTGTATGATGTGGTTAAGCAGAGACATTTTGAAGTTATGGTATGTTTAGTAAAGTGTGACCTTTATTCCTAACCAATGTTTTGTTTAGCATTGTGAATTTGCAAAGGAGAAGAAGAAAATAGCAAGTGAACTCTGTGATAGGCAAAGGCTGGCTGATTCATATCTGGATGTTGCAGAATCATACCAGAAACTCAGAAAATTCAACAAAGCAATCAAATGGTACAAAAAGAGCTGGGAAATGTACAAAAATATTGGTAACTTAGAGGTAACTTTTTCATTATTCTGGAACATAAATTTAAAACTTCCTTTTTAGTCTTTAATCTTACTTTATTCAATATAACACAAATCTAAATCTAGAAAGATCCATGATGATTTCAGATCATTGGTAATAACAATGCTTGTTTGATTCAACTTATTTTTGGACAAATTTCACTTTCTTTTAGCTTCCCAAAAGACCTTCTGAAATATAAACGATTATATATCTAGAATTAAGCTGTGAACAAAGCATGCCTTGAGTATTTTGCAAAATGAGGGTTAAAAGACTCCAAGCCACTAATCATGTATTCAAATTTCAATCTTCAAAATCTATATGATTTAGCCTATAATTTATATATGAAACTAATAGTAAGTAACTTTGAATACATCCATCCATACACACAAAACATGAAAATTCTTAGATTTAGTTGGTTGCTATGATTTATGGACCCTTCGAAAGAGGAGCAATGTGCATGTCATGAAAAACTAAGTAATACAACTATATAACTACAACACAACTCATGACACCCAAATTAAGTCTATGTAATAAGATTTATTTTATAATGCTGTATAATAAAATCGTGTTCATTGAGTGTATTATACTCATTGTAAATAGAATTTTTTTCATGTTAGTCAGTATGAGTACATAATGCTTGAAATCCCGATGGGACACTTAAATTTCTGTATGCATGTCAATGTCTTTAGTTACTTAGTATCCAAAGATATATTTGGATGAAATAGTTTGTTTGATTTTTTGTGTGTGTATGTCTATTGTCACTTGGTTGATACTTATACTTTGCTAATAATGATCATAGGGGCAAGCGCTGGTGAAAATTAACATCGGTAATGTTTTGGATTCTACTAACAATTGGAGAGAAGCACTGGATGCATTTCAAGAGAGCTACAGGTAATAATATCCATACATTTAACTTTACTGGATGATTTTATTTCCTGAAATTAGAACATTAATGGAACAAGAAATATTTTGTAATTATAATGAAATCTGAGTAGCTGAATGAAACTTGACCACCTACTACATAGTTCTATGACTTATCCTTGATTGAACTTTCAAAAAATTATATTCATGTTGCATCCTTTTGTATGTTCTTATATGAATTGCATTGATTTAATTGCATCTTATTGCAGTATTGCTGTTGAAGCAGACCTTCCTGATGTGCAACTCTCTGCCTTGGAAAATATGCATTATAGTAACATGATAAGATTTGATGATGAGGATGAGACCAGGTAGCTGGATCATGGAAGTCTGTTTCCTAATATATACATTTCTTGCAGTTTTGTTGAATTACTCACGGATCCATTTAATATTCCAAAATCTCATACTATGCTAACTGAATCCATTTTATTGTTTCCATTATTAGGGGTCCTTTTGATGACATGTAATCTAGTGCTGATCAATTGTAATTTTTATAGGAGATTGAAGCTTCTAATCGACAAGCAGAAGAAATCCAAAGAAAAAGAGGCAGCAGCTAAAAGTATGTCAGATGATTGTTGCTCTGAAACTGATACTGAAGCAGGTGATTATCTGTCAAACAGTGGGTCTGATAATTTTTGCTTTCCAAAGACAATTTCTCGATCAAAAGCTCTGATAACTGGAGAAGAATTGGGAGATGACACACCTATTATGTCCCTCTATCAGTCCATAAAAAGCTCATCCAAAAAGAAAAAAGACCACAAAGAAAGTCTTCTCAACTCTAACAAGCAAGCTGAGCAGTCACCCAGTAGTCTGAAAAATCAATCCAGCGATCATCAGACAGTTGTTAGTCGTAAACGTGTCCGTGTAATTCTTTCGGATGATGATGATGATGATGAGGTGGAGTGTTCAAGCAGGAGGGATCTCAATTGCCTGGTAGAGGACTTGCCCACTTATGATGCCAGTATGTTTTCTGTGTTAGTTGCTTTGCTCTGATGCAAATATTCCATTATACCAACATTATGTTCTGATCGATACTGTGGTTATTGCAGTTAATAGTAAAGCTAGTCCGTGTAAAATTCAGGTAAAGATATCTCCAAACTTAGTTGCATGTGTGTGAGCTTTGCTCAGGTATCACGATGTGAGAGCCTAGCCTTTTTATTTTTGGGATGGCAGGTTATCTCCGAGTGTGGATCTAAGGGTGCAATTAAATTTGAAGAAAGTAGTAGTTCTTTCAAATGTTCAAGTCCACATACAGCCCCAAACACCGGCAGACATTCTAGGTCTTTCAGCAATGACATAGTTGCTGAAGCTGATTTTCCTACTGGTTCTAAATGTGACACTGATTTCTCTGGCAAACAAAATGATATTACCCAGCCTAGGCTGCATCATTCCCAAAATGACGTGAGTTCTACTGTTATGATCCAAGTAAAAATATATTTGGGGTTCATGGTTTTGCAAGGTTTTCATGAATCTAATGATTATTTTTCTAACTTGGTGCCTCTATTTCTAGCCCCAGAAATGTATTACATGCCGGATTGAGAATGATCTAATACATTTTGAAGCAACCTTGTGTACCACTGGTGATCAGTTGAACATTGACTCTTTGAAGGCTGTCGTTGCATGCTTATATTATCTACAATTTCCGCCTGAAAAGAGATCAGAAGGTACGCAGTTCATACTTTTAAGTGTTTTCTGTCAGTTAATAATATTAGCATAGAAGATCTCCAGTTGACTTGAATCTTAATTTGTTAAGAATTGTATAAAAGATAAGAAGGAAGTGAGTTTGGGGTATTCTGGCTTTGCATATAAATGGTGAAAGTTGCTTCTTGTTGTAATAAAATAAAAAATCGTTGCCCCTCTTGCAAGAAGATCCCAATTACAGAAAAATTCATCAAAGCCTGGATTTATGATTAATTTCTTATTTGCCATTAAGTATTCCTTAGATGTGGATTAACCTTGGTCAACCCCATACATGGTCTTACGATTATGTGGAGACAGTGTTTTTGGTAAACAGTCGTCCGGGCTTGGTCACTACAACCCTCTTTGTGAGGAGACATCCCTTCTCCCCAAGTTATGAAGCTATTTTGCTGGATAAGTTTGGTTTCAAATACCGGTTCAAATAGGAGAAATATGTCATGTTAATGTGCCTAGGATGACTCAAATATGAGGGTTAGGGGCCGATGAGCACATTAAACTATTCATATGGTTGAAAGTATCGATTGGCTAATTTTTCCTTTAAGTGAAGATACGTGCATGTCCAATAAATTTTCCTTAAGTGATCATTTTTTTTTCTTTGATTGCCATGTGTTGAGTATTCCCTTGTCTTCTAACTAGGAGGAAGGTTACTACTATGAATGCGTCTACCATGATTTTGGATTAATTAATTTCAGTGCAGCAATTGGTTGTCCTACCTTCGATCTTGAGGTAGAGTAACAAAGTGACACAGCTTAAGTTTGCTTATATTTTGACTGTATTCTGCTTAATAATTTGTGCCCTAGCAATAAGGTTTGTAGAGGCACCAAACAAGAGACCATGCTTGAGACATGCATTGTCACACTGCAGATCCAACATATAGATGTTTGGAAAATGTGGCTATATATAAATTGGTAGTGCCGAACCTGTTTATGACAAATTCTTGTACTGCATAAGAGTTGTATGGATCTGTATGGAACTTTATCCGGTACTAGCATCAATCACAGGAAGTCTTATTGTTGCATAGAATAGATACTCTGGTGTACAACATGTAAAACAATATCAAACTATCAAGAAGCTGATTTCATTCTTCAATATCTATTACTATTTAGTTGCAGTTTTATCAACTCCCATGTTATATCAACTGGCTGTACTTACAAATTTATAAATAGGTTTGTTACCCATTATTGAACGTATAAAATGTGCTGGAAGAGATATAGAATCCCTGGAAACTGTTGAACAACTTAAGGAAGTTCTGGGAAATGACATGGTTGAAGCTTCCGTTGATGGTACGTGATGCTTTTTGTTTATTCAGTGATATCGCTATTAAGTTTTTTTATGCCATGTCGTTGAGTATCTTTTTTTTTTTTTTAATATATATATATATATATCTGATTTCTTGTCAAGAACTTTATCTTGTAGATATTAACTATTTGCACATATGTTGACATAAATATTTGAATCTCTAGACTAGTTGCTACACGGTTGTTATCTATTGAATAAAATTAAAATTAATTTGGCTCATCATCACTTGATAACATTGATCCTACAAATTGCAATTTATGTTAGGAATAAGCATACGGAGTTGACAGCTGAAAAGGCAGTTATAGGCTTATGCTGTATTGAAGCTGTATTCAACATCAATGTTTAGCTTTCCACTATTTATCTCCAAATGACACTCACATGATTTTTTTATCCTTTCCAGGATGGATTCATAAGCGGCTGATAAAAATGTATGTAGACTGCTGCAAGGAGTTATCTGAGGTACCAAACATCAAGGTACTGAAGAAGCTTTACAATTTAGAGGTAAGAAGGATGTTAAACGTATCAAGTATTTCATAGCCACTGCACAGTGACACGTATGCCTTTTCATTTACAGAGGTCTGATTCAATCTGTTTCTTGTTTCTTGTACAACTGTCTTTGGCTTATTGTCGTTAACAGGTTTCAGATGACGAAATTGTTGTGTCTGACTGCGACCTGCAAGATTTGTCTATTACACCATTGATAAATGCACTGCATTCCCAAAAGTCATTTGCGATGCTGGACCTCTCTCACAATTTGTTAGGTACAATTTTTTTCTGGCTTGTGGCTTTTTTGCTATAGATTCTGCTATATTTGTTTTGTGCGCAAATTTGTCAACTCTCAAATTTCATCTATTAAATCTGGTAGCAAGTCCTTTGGTTAGTGGCTAATGAATGATTTGAAACTAAAACCTTGAAAAAATTATATTAGATAAAAAAATGACGAGGGAATCTATTAAATAGTTTTAGCCTTTATTGAGTTGATTATATTTTTAGGAAATGGAACAATTGAGAAACTTCGAAAGGTGTTCACGGCATCAGGACAATCTTATGGGGGCTTAACTCTGGATTTGCATTGCAATCGATTTGGGCCGACAACATTGTTTCAGGTATGATACTACTTGCGGCCTTTTTTGCTTGCTTCTCTTCCTTATTCTTGTTAAATCTGATTTGTAGGTATGAGGTCTAAAATGATGGTTTTTATAACTGGAAGATATGTGAAAAAGTTGAACTCAAATAAAATGGATGCATACGCTTGATGTTAGTTGTGATAATTTCTGAAAAGCAAAATGAATGATTTGGTCTTAATCACCAAATATCATCACCTGCCTTCTCCCAACCAAGGCCATTTTTTCAATGACTGTCATACAATAACCTATTTTGTATTTGCACATGGATGATACTTTTGATTAATAGAATAAAATAATACTTCTGTTCTTTTGCAGAGTAATCTCAAATTTGCTAATTTATTAACTTTTGCTTGTTCCTCTCAGATTTGCGAGTGTTCACTTCTGTTTGCTCGACTAGAAGTTCTTAACATTTCTGGAAACCGTCTTACTGATGCATGTGGATCTTATCTTTCGACAATCTTAAAAAATTGTACAGGTAAGCTGGATGACTTAACCTCTGCCAATTTGGATATTGTTTTTGCTATCTCTGAAGAATGCTGATTGTCATGTCCTTCGCCTCTTTCCTTTCTAGTATACATGGTCTCACTCTGAGCTATGAAAATGTGATGTCAAATGTATGTTAAGATGCATTTATGGTCTCTCAAATGTGTTTGTATGTAGATTCGCGCTGTAGATATGCCCCTTTCCATTTACTTACATTCTGTGTTGCAGCGCTTTGTAGCTTGAATATAGAGAACTGTTATGTCACATCCAGAACTATTCAAAAACTTGCAGATGCATTGGACTCCAGATCTGTTCTTACCCATCTATGTATAGGTATGATGATTCTATCATTATCTTCTGATCCCCTATGCATGTAGTCTTACAGCATAATGGGTACTTTGACAGGATACAACGGCCCTTTATCTGGAAATGTTATTATTAATCTTCTGTCCAAGCTTTCTACTCTGAAAAGGTACCAATGTCACCATCCCATTACTCCGTAGCATCCTTTACATAAATTGTCATAAATTTAAACAAAGTGTGCCCATTATAGGTTTTCTGAGTTGAATATGAGTGGTCTAAAACTAGGCAAGCCAGTGGTGGATACCCTTTGCAAGCTTGCAGGGACCTTAACTTTATCAGGACTAATACTTGGAGGCACGGGCATTGGAACTGTGAGTAAAACCTATCACCTACTACTGCTCGTTCACCTCATTGTACCATTATTGTTTAATTCAGCATGCTTTGCCCACATGATCTCCTGATGCTAGAGACATTAATTCTGCAGGAAGGGGCGATAAAATTAGCAGAATCTTTGCTTAAAGGAACTGAAGAGCTTGTGAAACTTGACCTATCATATTCTGGTTTAACATGTAAATTTGTTTTAAACACCAGTGTTAATTTTTTTTATTCCATCCTAGAGCTAAACCTGGAAGGAAATCCTATCATGCCTGAGGTTTGTTGCTCGTAACTAGATTTCTATTGCTAATATTATTGTGATGCATGTTTCCTTGACTGGTTTTATTTGCGTATTACAATGAATTGCTGCAAATCAGTGGGATCTGGCTTTTCCTTACCCTCTTAACACTGGTTTGCAGTTTATTGATTTACGCATATAGCTGTGGCCGTTTAGTGATAATTTTGTCACTTTAATCAGTCTTGTTATTCATGGTTTGTTTAAATATCTAACGAATACAGGGCAGCGATACTTTATTTTCTCTTCTGGTAAACCCACAGTGCTGTCTCAAAGTTTTGGTTCTTAGAAAGTGTCAACTTGGGCTTGCTGGAATCCTTCACATAATTGAGGCTCTCGCAGGTAGTCATTAAATTTTATCTGGTTGTTAATGCGTTTTTTACAGCTACTATTTTATGAATACGTTGTTTCTTTTATCAGAGAACAGCTGCATTGAAGAACTTAATCTTGCTGATAATTCTTTTCCAAAGGAAGTTTCTGCTCTACAATATGATTTATCAGTAAAGAGCTGCTCACAATCCCAGCAGAAACTAGACAATATGCAAGTTGATGAGAATCGAAAGGTCCACTGTTCTATAAACACAGCCGACTATAGGCTGGTAGTTGCTGATAGTGAAGATATTCCAGTAGAAGCTGCTTCCAGAATTGACGACAGCTGTGCCAGTTCATGTCAAAGAAATTCATCTGCCGAGTGCCATTTCACGGAACAGTTTTCAATTGCTATTGGTAAGGCAAATAACTTGCAATTACTAGACCTTAGCAATAATGGTTTTTCTGCACAAGTTGCGGAAACATTCTATGGTTCGTGGGCGACTTTACGACCCTTTTCAAGTCATAAGCACATTACTGAGCAGATTGTTCATTTCTCAACGAGGGAAAATAAATGCTGCAGAGTGAAACCTTGCTGCAAGAAAGTTTGAGATGTAGCACCCCATGTCAATATCCAGTTCAAAGAATAAGAGGCAATTCACCAGTCAATGTTTGAGAGTATATTTTATGAATAAAAATGCGTTTGGCGATTGCTGCTTAATCTGTAAATGTTATATCAACAGCTAAATTTATGCACGTCACTCGTAATATAGGTCCTCGGGCGCATTTATCATGTAAAGCACGTTCTTGAAGTATTCATTTTAATCTCATGTATATATTTCTATGCGGAATAGCTGTGTAGCTTCCCACTTTGTTTTTGGCAAGTCAATGGTAAGATGGGAAATATAGGATTGCTCCATTTTACATCTCTTACCTTAAAAAAATACGTAATTTTTTTAATGGTGTTTGTGAGATTTAAACTGCAGTTTTGTGTAAGATATACTCAATAATTTCATATTAAATAGTTTATATAATGACTTGTATTTTTAGAGCTTAAATTGTGTTTTAATTTTTCAATTATCGTAAACTGATCATTTTTTTCAATAACTCATGTATTTCACGTAATTACACTAATTTTAATTATGAAAATAATGCTATTATATTTATTTTAATATATTTTATTATATTTTGTATTTTTATGCATTAAATAACACCATTTGATATTATTTATGTGGAGCTTATCTTAGTAAAATATTAAAAAAATATCTTAATACATGTTAGAATTTAAGTAAGTTGAAGTCCCATTAAAAGATATATTTTCTAATAAGGATTATCATTAAAATATTTATAGTGGGAGAAAATGCTTCTTATAAAAGTGTTAGAATGTAAGTATAAGTGGAATAGAAAAAGAAAAGTTGAATATTTATAGTAAATCAATTCCGTTTAAAACATGATCAACCAAGTAAAGTTCTGGATCTTTTGAAGGAAGGTATCATGAGAATGGATTTGAGGGAGATTTCTGACGATGAAGGAGGATTCGATTTGTGGATATTTGGAATAGTTTTTATATGGTTTATTTTGACCATTACGCTGACATAGAAAAGATGACGAGTGGTGACAGCAGAACAACAACCAGAAAAGAGCTGCGAAAGATCAGCAATGAAGTCACCGGTGGTAGAGAATAAACTGAATTAGGGTTGATGGAGACCCAGTTTGTTGTGGCGTCTTCAGAAGTAGCCAACTCCACGGCCCCACATGGTTGGTGATTTGATAATTGTCGTGAAGAGAAGTCGGAAACAAAATCAAAGAAATACCGTGAGAAATGACAACATGTCAGTCACTCCCCCATTTAATGCAAGCATGAATGATACGCAGGCATTCAATGGAACCATGAAGGGGGGACCTTCTGATTTGTGGTCCCTAATCATAGAGATACCATCCATCAAAGTCAAACGGGCCCACGCAGGAGTGAGAAAAAGAGAATCAGAGGTGAATATACCATACCATGCATGCAACAGAAATCGTATAACAAGGCGTTAACTTCAAAATCTGCGCACAATTTTTGTGATCATAGTTCTGAAGCTGGGAAATTGCATCAACCAACTTAATTTTAAGTGGAGTCGCAGGCAATGACAAAAACTGATACCAAGAGCCAGGCCTAAGCATGAACGCATTCAAGAATTTATATATATTATCGTGGAATATCAAAGGTGTGGTTAATGCAAATGTGTTGAATAATATCTATAATAACATCTTTTCATAAATAATGTTAAAGTTTATATTTGTAATGTGTTATAACTATTGATGATTTTTTATAATATTTGTGAAAATATATAATAATAATAATAAACAATTTAATCCCTAAACTTCAAAAATATTTTGGGGAGTCTTATTCACCTAAAAAGAGCTTCACAGAACGCGTGAACCGGAAGATAGCTTTAAATCTTTATTTTCCATTCTCCTTGAAACACATTGTCGTTTCTCTACAGTTTCAAAGTCAGGGATTCTGAGGACTATGAAGCTTGCCATATACAAGAGGGGCCATCCAAGTGTCTTCAGAGCAGTTGTAGGAAGTCCATATCCATGTGCATACTACTTCATCTGTTCATCTGTTTCAACCTCCGTTGTATGTACACATTGTTCAGCATTTAAAGAGGATATTTTTCACCTTCTTAAACATTGTCCACACTATGCAAGTAATTTTTTAGACGCTCAAATATCACAACTTGGAGCTGAGGAGTAATCACATGCATCTTGCAGAAGTTAAATGTTGACGGAAATTTCATGCCAAGAAGTGATTATATGGGAATGAGAGGGGTTAGATGGGTTGTGGAGTTTTCTTTAAAGATGGATCCGTGGATCATATCTTGGCAGAAAATAATCAGTTGATTACAGATTATGAAGTTATTCAGTGATGGTGGCACCGCAATTACAGTTATTATCCCAATCATCTACATCCCACACATAATTAGCAATCATATTTGTTGTGGTGGAAAAGAACCAAAACATCTCCAAATACCGCTGATTATGAAACTCACATACACCAATCAAGTATACTCCTTCATCATTCCATATGCTTAAATAATGTTCAACATTTATTAGCGTGGGTGGCTATAATTCAAAACTCTCATTTTTGCTTTTTCTTTATTAATCGGAAAAAACAATTAAATCGATACCAGTGTTTTCATACGAGAAATCATAAATTTAATATTTAATTCCTATAAAATGTTGGATGAATTACAACATTTTTCAAATTTAATCTATATAAAATATTAGAATTTCAATTTAAATATAAAATTAAGTCCCTCTTATATAAATAAATAAGTTAAAACATATATAGGTATATAAATGAGAAAAATTCACTATTTTATTCTGTTATATTATTTTATTTGATTAATCTATATATATATATATATATATATATATATATATTTATGTATAATCAGGGACGTATATTGATATATCATTAATAATATATTATTAATAACTAATAAAAAAATAAAAATAATGTAAAAATGTGTGAGAATATATATTAATAACTTATTTTAATATTTATGAAAAAAATATTAAACAAGTGATTAAAATTATAAATAGATTATAAAAATTCTGGGATATTTTAAAGAAGTTGTGACTAATAATACAGTGATTTGTAAATGATGATTAGTCCATGTGTTTTTTAGAGTTTTTAACTTCAGTATAAATCCATTTACTTTTTTCATTCTTGACAATAATTTTTCTTTAATTGATTTTATTTTTATTTATTATGTTCTAATTTGAATCAATCCCATTATAGTTGGATTGGTTCGTGTGCTTTAGTTGGAAGCCTAAACTTGAAAAACATTCTTAATCAAACTCAAATAGTCATTTCACGAACTCTAATCGAACTAAAATTTCCCAATTCCTAATTATTTATTTGGTAATCACCAACCTTTACTAATTTCCCTTAATTATTGTAATAATTAGTTGTGGTAGTTAATGATAATTCCCGTAGGATTTATTTATATTTAATGTACATATATAGTCAAGAATATTAGTGAAAAGTATTTATTTTATTTGGTTTCGGATCTCTTAGGCTTGATTATATATTATGTAAAAGATGGTAAAATTGGTTAGTCCTTTCTATTTTTGGCTCGTTATATTTTTAGTCCATAAAAAATTGGATGGGGTGGATTGACCTATAGGAATGTCAAATAAATCAACTCGATTCACATGAGTTAGCTCACAACAAGGTCGAGTTAAAAATATGTGAGTTCAACTAGGTTGACTTTATGTTCTATCTATTACAAGTTGGTGGGTTGACTCACTCACTTATATTTATTGTTATTTTTATAATTATTTTTAATAAGCACAATTGAATCATGGGATTGAAACATAATGACGCGGTGACACGACATATATTATGACAATACTGACAAACGATTTGGTGCAACTCAAGCACGGTGGTGTGATGATGCAACAAATACAGTGATGCAGCGAACACATTAGCGTAGCAAACTCTATGGCACAATTGAAATGCGGTATGGTGGCACGAGAAAGGTTGTGACGTCTTGGTGCAACAAACGCAATAAACACGGGGTGCAGTGATGCAGTGGACGAATGACAAGCAACCTAGGTGCAGCAACAAAAGAAGTGGTGCGAGAAATAACTGATGATAAGTTTGAGTGAGAGTTTAATTTGTACCACCAAAGTAGAGTAAAGGTGGAGAAATATGATAATATTAAATAGAGTTACTAAATTATTATAATTATTTTTAAAATTTAAAATGAATGATGGGTTGCAGGTCAACCCACCATAACCCGGTTCAAACTCGCTTAATGTGGGTTAAGTAAATCAGGTTCGTTTTTAACCCATTATCAGTAGAAAAAAAAAATCGAATCCAATCTAGTTTGAACTCATGTTGAGCTAGATTAACTCATCGGTTACAACCTATATTGACAATTCTACCGACTTGCTATAATAAAAACGGGTTACAAAGCTTGCCACGCCCTGCCAAAGGGCAACCGAGAGACTAACCAACTCGGTTCATCAATACTTTTTTTATATAATTTGTTTATATATATATATATATATATATATATATATATATATTTTAATATATATTTAATTATATGGATAATTTTTAAATTTTATTTATTTATTAATATTTTTATCGGATAAATTGAAAATTATTATATATATGTGTTAAAATAATTAATTATAAAGAATAATTTAAACTTATTTAATTACTTTTTATAATTTAAATTATAATATATTTATATATTTCAATAATATAACAACAAAAATATAATATTTTTAATTATAATTTTTTATTTTAATTTTAATATATAAATATTTTTTTAAAGTGAATTAGTCTACTTCGTTCTTGATGTGCCAAGTTGGTAGACTAAGCGAGATAGACCAAAACGATCATGGACTAAACTTATTAATTCACTCTGTATTTTTTTAAGCAAGCCAACCCACATATTATGTTAATTGTTAAGTAGAGAGCACTTATCCAGATGATAGAAAAATGAAGTTAATGAAATAATAAATTGATGGTTGGATTAATTGCTTTCATAAGGTCACAATAAAAATTGGAGCGTGCATTGATTAGAAAATATAACAATGTGATATATGCATGATACAGGTTGGTTCAAAATCTTTTTAACTTGACAAATTAAGAACATATTATGATATCCCAAAAATTAAAATTGAGTAATCAATAAGAATATTAAAAAAAATATTTGTTGGAAATATTAAAATTTGAAAACCTATTACTAAAAATACGTGGTCTTGTTTATAGAATAAATAATTCGTTGTATATAATTAATACAATTTATGCATTGAATTACTTAAATATTATATGTGAATTTTTCTAATTTCATTCAAAATTCAATACATAGTAAATTTCAAGGAAAGATTGTTTTCATTTAATTTTTATATTTAATATGATTTCAAAAATTTAAAATAACTTCCAAAAATAATAAAGAACTGTGAAAGCAAATTACTAAAAAATAAATGTGTAGAAAATTAAATAACATAAAAATGAATTTAACTCATTACTAAGGTTAAAATAGAAATTTATAGAGGAAATCAAATAAAGTGGTGATCTAAATTGCAAAGAACTCTGTTGACAATGCTTATTTCCAATTCACAGTGTTTTTCCAAATATAAGTTGTATAATTTGACATTCCCCTTTTGTACCTTTATTGTATCCTCTCTCTCTCATATATATATATATATATATATATATATATATATATATATATATATATATATATATATCATTTTTTGTAACTAGAAAAGCAACCAAAAAAATAATAAAATAAAAATTACAAATTAAAATCTCTCAAACAATTATTATCTTATAACCGCTTCACATGGTAGATACACGTTCACGTGTAACTTGCACATTCTACAAAACTTATTTCTTAACCCGCCTTCAACAATCTTTTAATGCACTAGTGAAAAATCCTTCCATGTAACTTCCTCTCAATATATTCATGTTCATTTTAATCTTTCGATCTTTGATTCCTAATTTTTTGATATTCTTCCCTTTTAATTCCTCGATTCTCAATTTGTCGATATTCTGGCTTTTCTAAAAAAACTTAATCCTAATTACTCTTCTACATCGATACGTCATTCTCGATTTCTACCTTCACTCTTTCCAACCATTTGATCCCAATAAAACTCGATCTATTTTTTTCGATCTTTTTGTAATTTTTAGACTTAACAAAATGCCCCCTAAAAGAATAATTTCATGAATCTTCGATGAATACATATATTCTCTTATTTTCGATACCAGCTTCAAATATTTTATCCTTATTTTATCAAAAAACTGTTTTCTAATCCCATATTTTCATTATTACTCTCACTCCCCTTATAAATGCAAAATTTTCGTAATAAATGCGACTGTTTGTACTGTTATTCCTTCGTCCGTCATTGGTCCAATTTCTATCTCAAAATATTTCATTTATTTGGATATGGGCCTACACCAAACCCATTACCACTAAACTTCTTGGGAAAACATATTTTCTTTTAAAACAATCAAACTATTTATCTTCCTCATCCTTACTGACTTTCCACTTCCTAAACTGATTTATTAAAACCTTCTCTGTTTTCTCATATAAGCGATATCTACGTGTGTCTGCTATCTTATATCCTGATCTTCAAATGGCGTCATCCTTTTCAACCTCCCAAACCGTCATCCAACCCATAATTACTCAATTGGTGGAATTAAATGGAAAAACTTTTGCACCTGTTTTTGGTGCATCAAAAGAATCTCAAAAGATTTGCTCCACCCAGGTATTAATTCCCTACTTCGTTAGTGGTGTCTTATTTGCTGATTCGACCTCAAGGCGTGTTGACTTGGCGGTTATTTCTTGGAGTTGGCTATCCGAACTGGTTCTAGCATTTTTGGATGCTCGGATAGCTTGCTCATTGGAGTCAGCACATTGATCCTTGAGACGCTCTATTTCATGATCCTTTTTCTTGCCTTGCCTTTGCAGACCGTCAATTGTGAGGATGGATGCTTGCTCTCTTTCCTCAAGGGCCCTCATCTGGGCTCCCATGATTTCCATCCTCTGGGTCAAGGCATCAATTTGAGCCTGCAACTCTTCATTATTGGCGTTCGTAATGGGTGTGGTGGATGGTTGAGCCATCCCTCTTCTTTTCCTCCACGCCTCGTAGTCACTGGTGACAGTCACCCGATCTTTTCCTAGCTCTCTGTCTCCCATGTAGACTGGTTTCTCCCATGCTTTTCTCACAGCTAGTGAGTTGGCAATTGTGCATGGGTCTCCGAAGAAACACAGTCCTCTGAGTTCCCCACGAGAAATGGTAGTTTGGGTCCTCATGAGCTGTCTTATAGCTACTCTAGGTGAATAGGCTATGCAACCCCTGAGTCCTATCAA